CACCAAAAGGAAGGGCCCTAGTAAGTGGACCCTTGCCAGCCAGGGGGCAGGCCAAGGTCATGGCAGCAGGGACAGTACCACAGGCACAGATGGAGCTCTGGGGGTGTGTCCCAGGCATCCAAGTTTCTCAGGGCTGGGACAAGGTGGCAGCCTCCAGGGCCAGGGCCAGGCCAGGACAGAGCATGGTGGTTAGGATAGTGTCTGGTGCAAATCCTAGCGCAGTCGCTTCCTAGCTGGGCACCATAGGGCAGTGACTGACCTCAGTGCCCAGTTCCTCGCTTTGCAGTGAGGACAGTGAGTGCTTCTGGTGTCCCAGGGGAACTTGCCCACTTGTTGTCCTCATTGTGCTGTCCCCAAACAGTAGCACCCAGAACCGACACCAGAACTGAGCACAGTCACTGCACGAAGGCCACAGGACAGAGGGCAGCCTGTGCCAGGCCTCGTAAGCCCCAGTGAACCGCAGCAGCCAATACGCAGTCTCACGGTGGGAGAGTGTCTCGGGCATGCCCTGAACTTTACACTGCAAAGCCAGAGTGGCTTTAGAGGCCCAGTCCTATGGAGCAATAATGACATTAAACAGCTGGTTTAGATCTTTCGAAGGTCCTGCCCTGACAGCTGCCCCAAAGGGCTCGGGGGGCCACAGTGAGCTGGAGGAGCCGACTGCTATGGCCGGCTCTGGGCAGGGGCACCAGGCTCCTCCGGGCAGGCAGCTGCGGCTTGCTCTGCTCTCAGAGGCTATCCGCATAGCCCCTCACAGTGCTGCAGGCCCTGCCTGGCCTGCTGGCTGGTCCCCTGTAGGGCAGCAGAAGCTCAGGCTCCTCACCACAGGACCACCCTGCAGTTCCCATCGAGTGGGAATAACACCCAGCTTCATTTCTCCTGGGATAACAAATGTTATGGAAGCATCGAGATCTGTCCTACCTGAGAGCCCGGTACAGACTGGAGGCCTTGGCGAGAGGCACCAGGCTCAGGGCAGACAGCAGTGGCAGAGGAAGGAGTTGGTCTCTTCTGACAGCTGACATTAGCTCCTCTGCCCGTGCCCCTGTCTACTCACTCTTGTATCTGTCAATCATTTATCTACATATCACTTAACTGTCATCTATTTCTCTTAATTTGTTATTCACTTATTATCTATTGTCCATGTCCCTATCACCTATCCCTCCACCCACCACCTTTCTCTATCATCTATCTATCATCTACCTATCATTTATCATCTATCATCATTTATCTCCATATTTTCATCAATTCACCTATATATCAATCACATCTATAATCTATCATCTTTACCTATCAATCTATCAGCTATATATCTATCATCTATAACATCTATTATCTATATCTATCCTTCTACCTCTTATCTCTGTCCCATCTATTATCCATCTATCATTTATCTATAATTCATTTTTTTCTGTCAATCTTCTAATCATCTGTGTGTCTCATCTGCCTGTTACCTACCATTTTTCATCTATCATCTATCTTCATTTCTCTATCACCTGTCTATCTTCCTATCCACTGTCTCTAACATCTACTGCCAATGTCTATCTTTCTCCTATATCTGTCCTATCTCTCATCTATCATTTATCTATTTTCTACCTATCACAACTAGCACATCTCTCTGAGATCTGTATGTATCACCTGAACCTCTCCATCCTGCCTGGCTGTGTTTGTAGATTCCTACCACTGCACCTCAGCCCTCTGCCTTACGTGGGCACTCCTCCCAGGGCTCACCAGGGGCAAGGCTGGCATGGAGGCATGTACAGAGGTACTTGGCAAATGCCTCTGGAAGATGACAAAAGAAGAATTGAGGCCAAACAATGAAATCACTCAGGCCTCAGAGGGCAGAGCCAAGGGATCAGAAGAGGGCATCTGCCTCCCTGATCCCTAGGCCATGTCTTTTGCAAACACTCAGTCTCTTCTCGCTGGCAGTACCACCTCCCACCCACACAGCAACCCCAGTGGACACTAGAACTTTATCCATCTGGCTGAACCTGACTTGGAAGTAGTTTAAGCAGGATTTTTGCTTTTAGACTTAGCCTGAATTTGGTCATCAGAGGTGACCTCCACCCCTTTTCCCTTGCTCTCTGGAATACTGGTGGCAAGTGGAGGGGCAAGGACCATGGAGAGCAGGGGATGCAGTGGCCTGTATGTGCAGGAGGCGGACATGAGGGTGGCCCTGAGTGAGGTGGGAGGGGATGGATGAATGGCTGCCCAAGATGGTGGACAGACTGATGGACATGATCAAAGCCAGACCTCACAGGGGCAGGGGATTTTCTGGCATAGAGCACAACAGGGGTGAGTCCACCTGGGCAGCCCTTGGTCAAGGGCGACTCCTGCTGTAGGAGGAGCTGTTGGTGTGAGAATGACCACTCCCCCAGTGTGGAGGCCCAGGCTCTGTGCTGTGGCACTCACCTGTCCTCTGAGCACCTTCGCCACCACGTGGGGAGACCCAGTGCTGGGTGCCACCTTTCGGGGGCTGCTCCGCGCCGCTGTCTCCACTTGGGGCCCTGCCCCCATCTGGGTCCTCGATGGCTCCTCTGCCTCTCTGCCCGGTGTTGCAGTCCTTGCGCATGCTGGGAGAGGAGACAACGGTGTGCGTCACAAGGCCACAGCCAACACAGGGGCCCCAAACGAGGTCACCTAGGGACGACGTGACTGTCTTGGTCCTTGTAAGCCGTGCACGCTCGCTGATGCTCGCACAGTGAGGAGACCACCTCATGGTCTGCAGAACGCACTCCTGATGCTATGTAACAGGGACTGCTCCTGAGCCCCTCATGGCCACATCTGAACTGGATGGATGATGCGGCTGTTCAGCTGAGCAGACCCTGCGTGCGCCGTAAGGAGAGGCGCTTGTTTCTTACGCCCCTCCTGTGTCTAATAAGTGAGTAGACAGTCCAGGGGGAAAAGCCTCAGGAGAACCCACAGCTTTGATCCCTGGTCAGGGGCGTGGCACATCAGGAGGCAAAGCTAAGCTGTTACCGGAAGCTGCAGGTCACTCACTGATGTACCAGTGAGAGGCTTAATGAATGAGGCACTGTGGAGAACTCAGGCCTGGTTCTGTCCAACACAAGTCCAGGTAGACCTCAGCCTGAGGGGTGCAGGAGATGACTCTCGTGTAAAAGTGCCCATAACTCGCTTGAAGATGGCTTGTTGGACAAATGACCTGTTAGGTGCCACTTGGAAGCACTTTCATTCAATGACACAGTGGTGACAGGCAGTGATATTCTAAAGAGATCATAAGAACTCTGCACGCCCACCCCACAGCACGTAGGTGCAAGCCTCTATGGCACATGCCTACCTCAGCCACCTGGCTCGGAACCACGTCCTCAGGCTGTCCAATGTGACAGGCCCGCCCCACACGTTCCTCAGCTGCGGGTGTGTCCCCAGGTAAGACGTGGTTAGTGGGGAGACATACATGGGGTAGCCCAGGGGCTGGTCACAGGAGGAGTTGATGAGGTTCCTCAGGACCTGCTTATTGTTCTGAATGCTGCCACGCTCGGGGTTGCGGTTGCGGAGGAAGATGAGCTCCTGCTGCTGTCCAGCCCAGAGTCCTCGCACACACTCCTTGTTCACCTGCGGGCGTGGAGGAAATGTATGGTTTGTGACTAGCCACAGCAGTGAGTGCGCTCTGGGAGGTGACATCTGTGACTACTCCTGGCCAAAGGCTCTTGTCACAGTCAGTGCTATAAAACACAGATGATGCCATTTTGATGGGGAAAGTAGAAATAGAAAGAAAAATTTGTTTTAGCTTCATATAAAAGAAAAAGCAGTACAGGGAACAAGGGTCTTTGAGATCCTGGCCCTCAAATATGCCTGCTGAGAGGTTTGGCGGCGTTGGTCTCCAAGACCCTGCAGGGGACTGTGGCCCCAGGCTCCTGACTGGTTTCTGGCTATTGCTTCTCTGGGCTGCTGCTCTGACCTGAGGCCATTGGCACCTTGGTGCCAACCACCTTCTAGTTTTTCCTGGGTAATCGCTAGCCAGGGCCTTGGGCCAGGGCCAGGGGCAGGGTCATGGCCATACCTTGATCACCTTGAAGCTCAGGAAGCCCCTGTGAAGCATGATGACCTTGTACTCGTCAGTGCCCTCGTCCACCACATGGCGCAGGGTCAGCAGCTCCTCTCTGTTAGATAGCACAGCGCCCCGCCAGGCCGGGTCGGCCTCGTGACAAATCACCACTTTCTGCTCAAAGGACTGGATGGCCCCATAGAGGACAGCGGGGTCTTCGTACTCATCAGGGCATGTGAACTGGTCCTAGTGGAAGTCCACGAGGGCAAATGCACAGACGGTGACCGACGGTGACCAACGGTAACCTCTGAGGCCACAGCCGCTCCTGTCCTTCTCCCTCCCCATTTGTTCTCTGAGTCCTGGGCTGGGTGCAGGGCATGTGTCTCCTCTACTGGCCCTCACAACAGAGCATGCCCATGAAAGAGCTCTGTGGTCACGGCTCTATGACAGGCATTGGCTGGGCATTCTGTCATGCCACTCTCTGGCCAGTACACCTCCTTCTTCGCAGAGGATGTCACCTCCCCTTAGCAGCTCCTGAGGGCTAATTGCTATTGGCCAACATTGATACTCTCCAGTGGCCTCAGTGCTTCCTGGCCAAAGTGATGAACGCGCCTAGTGTTGTGCAGAGAAAGGAGACGGCATATTTCCAAGGCTGAGACTGTCACAAAGTGAGATTTTACCTGGTGCAGTTTCAGGGACATCCTGATGGCTGGAGCAACGACTTTATGCAGCAGGTCCATGTCGGCAAACACCCACTCGTCCCGCGCTGTGATCCTGAAGTCGCCTTTGAACAGGGCATGAAGGCCATAGAGGAAGGAGTCCAGGCTGTAAGACATGGGCTTATGGCTGCCACCATGCTGTGCATGTGGCTGGAGTGCTGCCACCTGCTGGGGGGGTGTCTCCCCATACAAGGTTTATCTTAATATTTTTAGGCTAACCCAGCAAGAAAGGACCCAATCAAAGGTACTAAATGCCTGGCCTTGCAGCCAGGTTTAGGTTCCCTGACCAGTGCTGGTACCAGGGAATGGAACCAACTCTGGTCACCTTAGAAGACACCAAAAGGATCTCTGAGGGCAAAATTCAAGGCTCATTTTGGAACAGATCAAATGTGTGTGCTCAGTGTGTGTTGAAGACAGCAGGCTCATCTATCCCAAGACTCCTGCTTGCACCCACTTCTCAGGAGGTGACCGTACCAACCGTGCCACCACCCAACACCCTTATTTCTCTATTTTGTGGATATGATTTCTGGGCAGTATTATTTGTAATAAAAATTTTCTCTCTACCATTACACAGAGAGAGGAAACAAACAAAATGAAACTAGAAACTGGCCACTTACATCCCTAGAGCCCCTCTATCTCTGTTATCTCCCTGCTTTTGATGCCCAGGGGAGGAGGCAGAGTACACCCTGCATGATAGCTAGCACAGGGTTCCAGGGCTGGCTGGTCTCTGAGTCTCCACACTGTCCCTGCTTCTTGCAGTCCCTGCCTACCCATCATCATGAGCAGCGCGAGGAGCCTGGAGGCCTTAAGTGCTGGGTAAGCATGGGGGTGGGTGTCCGAAAGTGAGGCATCCTGCATTCTGAGGGCAGGATTACTGTGCTCTCTTGTGGAAGGCGAAGCACCCGGAGCAGGCTGACTGCCCAGAGGGAGCAGGGTGAGTGTGGAGGAGGGAACTGCCCAGGGCAGCTGCTCCGGGATTTAATAAGGCAGCTCGGCCTTCGGATTCAGGGCAGTGCTTTAGACCAGCACATCAGGGAAATGGTTCTGCTGATTGCTGTTTGAACATTTCACCATGAAATGTATCACTATCATTAATTTCCTGCTGGAACTCCCATGAGAAAAATGCCGAGGCTTTGTGCCAGAGCAGACTGTGGGAAGTGGGAGCAGCAGGGGGCTGGTCAGGTGGGGCTACAGATGCTGCGGCTTGGAGGAGCAGGGAGCCTTCCAGAGAAAGATTGGGGGTGCCCTTCCCCCCAAAAGCCCTCCTCCCCTGACAGAACCAAAGCTTCCTGGGCCATGAGCTGCAGCCAGCTGCCCGGGAGGCACCGGAGGACGGCAGAGTCGCAGGACAGCAGAGCTGGACTGCCGGACGGCTACTGTGGGCAGAGGCCTTGAAATCTGAGTGACGCCTGCCTTCTGTGCCCAGGTGAAACATCTGAAGGTGCTCCTGGCATCAGAGGAGGCAGCACTGAACAGCAGACCACGAGCTAACCGTGGGCCACATTCAGGAAAGGAGCCGGGCCACCATGCTGTGTGCTGGCAACGGACTCACCCGTACATAAGAGAAGCTCTCCCTCCAGAAGTGAGGATGGGGAGGGTGCAAAGGAAGACCCTGGGATCTGCTCACATGCTGCAAGCAATGCCACAGACCAAGGAGAAGAGCAGCCAGGCCTGCGCTGGGCTCAGCAGCGTCTGCAGGGAAGCTATCGAGGGTTTACTGGGCGTGGAGGACACTCAGCTTGCCCAAGAGCTTCAGCAGGATGCCAAGCCTCCTTTCTGTGGCCTCCAACAATATATACTTCAGCAGCTCCTTTTCTTTCCAGAGGGAATGACACATTCAGTGCTTAGTGTCATTCTATTTAAATGATTTCTCACGTAAACCAAAGCCAGGGTTAGCATTCCACTAGATTGCGGGTATTAACCCTAGCACTTCACAGATCATGGTGTCCTAAAAGGAATGTGTTTCATTACCTGCCTTTTTCCCTTGAGAGAAGGAAGAGGAGGAAGACAGCCAAAGGGCTAAGAAGAGTAGGGCAGATGGGAGTCAGAGCAAGTGGAGGTGGAGGGGAGCTCTTCTACTACAGTGGAGCTGAGGGATGACAGGCCCCCACTCTGACTGTCGGGGCTGGAAGACAGTGGTAGTGAGCAGAGGTCAGCCTGCATCATGACTGAACAGCCCTGCCTCCCCCACCACAGAAGGTGGGTAAAGCCGGTTGACCTACCTCGAACAGACCAGTCTCCCACCATGTGTGTGCTAAGTAGCATAACAAAATCAAAACAATGCCAACATATTTTCTTTTACTTAAAAAAGCTGCTATGTGCTGCTTAGGCTATAACTCATCCAGAACAGATCCAGACTCCTCTTTTTGGTTCCTGGGCTGATGTGAGGAGGGGTGGCCAGTGGAAACACGGTTCCATCCACCTTCCTGAAAACAGATGTTCCCTGCCTGGGGGCCAAGGGTTGCTCTGCTCAGAGTTGGCTCTGCCTGTGCTATTGCTGCGAGCTTGCCCTGGACTGGCTTCTGAGGTCAAACTCATCGGTATCCCCACCTGCCTTTCATGGTAGAGACTTTTTAGAGCTAACCCGTGAAGCAGAAGTTGTCTCCACACTCTTGATTTTTAGTTTTCATTATTCACAGAGGACTCCTCCTAGCTCTGTTCTAGTCAGGGGTGATAATTTGAGCCCTCTGAGCCCCAATTTTGCTCCCAATCACCAACCAGCTCAGCCTAGTTACCACCTCTACCTTCTTTTATGGTGATTCTCAATGGGTAGTGATTCTGGACCCCAAGGAGCTTTGGCAATGTCTGTGACATTTCTGCTGTCACAACAGATGCATGGGGCTTGGCTGGCACTGTGGTTAGAGCCTGGGATGTTGCTGTACTACAGAAGAGGACAGCCCGACCACAAAGACCTTACAGCCCCAGTATCAGGCACACCACTGCTGCAAAGCATCTGAGACGAGGAGTCGGTGACTCGGAATCCGCAGATCAGCAGGAAGATGAGAAGTCTTATTCTCCTGCAGCTTGGGAAAGCAGGGGCTGGAGAATGAATTCACACTTGGGGGTCACCATCTAGGACTGGGCTGTAACACACTGGGGCACGGGGGAAGCATCTCTGGTGCCAGCTGAGTTCTGCGGGACTCATAGGAGCAGCCCCACCACAAAGACTGACTCGCCATTCTGGGGAATTCCTAAGAGACCCCACGTACCAGGTGCCTGCACACTGCGCCTCAGGGAGCCTTCAACCACGGTGCGCTACACAGACACGATGCCTGTGGAACTCACGCTAGCTGTCAAGGTGCTTTGCGGCTGGGCTGCCTGAGCTTACTCGTCAGTAACGGGGACACTGACAGTAGCCAGGCTACCTCCATCACCAGCCCAGGCTCAGCCGGCAGCCCCATGTAGCCCTGCAGTGAGCTCTCCCTGGGCCTTCCATTCTTCCCTGCGGCCCTCAACACCCATGCACTGGCTTTGGGGCCCCTTGAACAACTTTTGGCCACAGTTTCACAGTTCTCCAAGCAGAACAAAGGTCCAAATGACCAGCAGCCCCTTTGGGCAAGCACAAGTGAGGCAGAGAGAGAATAAGGCTTCTCATTTTCCTGCTGATCTGTGGATTCCATTTCACTGATTCATCACGTCTCACAGATCCTACACAAGATAGACTGCTATTACATTGTTTTCTTCATATAAGAAACAGGCTAGGAAGAATGTTGAGAAAAATGTGGGTCTGATGGGAAAAAACAATACTCCGGCTCTCACCCCACAGTGAGTGAGCTTGGGAACAAACCCACTGCCGGAGCCATTTTCTGGAAGCAGTTCCTTTTGGCAGTAGATCCTTTAAGGAGACAGTGCGCCTGCACCAAAAAAGTGGTAGGACCCCTACCACACACACACACACACACACACACACACACACACACACACGCATCACCACCTCCGATCAGCCTCCAGCAATGTCCTCACATTTCAAGTGCGGCACACACTGCCTGCCTGGGCAGATGTCAACATTGCTTTCATGTTTTCTCCATGCAGGACTTCAGCTCTAACACCAAGACATCTCACTTCATCCTGGCACTCTGCTACCCAGCAAAGAGCACTCTGGGAGAAGCCCTGGGGTCCCCCACATGGCTCCAGGGCACCTAGGTTCCTCCCACGCAGGTACCACAGCAGCGGAGCAGAGGGATGGAGCCAGACCATCCCAACACCAACCTGGCTCTGACCCTGGACTCCTGTCCTTTTGTCACTTATTTCTCTCCATTTTCAATACATTCATTAATATTTAAAGGTTTAGTGAAGCTTGCAAATAATCTTTTCTTGAAGGAACTAAGTAGAGAAATGTGGTTTGGGGTAAGTATGGAGGAAGGGTGGGAGAAACTCTAAATACACTCCAGTGTCAGCATTCATCTTGTTCTGTGGATTAACAGAACTTTGCAACCTGAGAGACACTGCAGATGTGCCCAAGTGACCTGGACAGGTAAGGAGCACTGTGACAATCACTCTCATGAGAAAAATGCTGGGCCAACAGGTAGGTATAAGGTGCCACTCCAGAGGACAAAGTGTCCCTGAGCTTTGGCCACACTGGGTTGCAAACAGCAGGCACCCTTGGCAGCTTTTGCTAACACAAGTGAGTGCAGAACACAGCAACAAGCAAGCATAGGTAGGAGGTAGGAGATAGCGGCAACCCTGGAGGATGTATGAGAGAAAGGCCTGCACATGGCTAGAGGGGAGAAAGGAAGATGAGGATAGCTGCTGGGACAAGTGCATACCCACACAATGTGGAGAGACAGGGCTGAGGCCTAACTGCATGGCGCATCCTGCACAGATTGCTTCTCTGCATCCCAGAGGCTCCAGCGGCAGCAGCAGACCAGTAACACACAGAGCCTACATTGTCATCCCTCGTGGCTGGGAGGGGACAATGGCCCCAGCTCTGCTCACTTATATTAATACTCTGTGCAGCACCCACCGAGTACCCAGCAAATACTCACTGCTGTTGGATTTTTGTTTTCGTCCAGCCATCGCCCAGGCTACATCGGCTCCAAATGTAAATTAACCATGTTTGTACCACAAAATTTCATACAATCATTGCAAGGAAGTCATGTTGGCTAAAACATTTCAGTGATATTGTTTCAAAGAAATTCAATGTGAAATAATAATCAACAAATGAGAAATAATTAAAATGCAAAATCTAGTTTTTAAAAAATATTTTTGGGGGGCCAGCAAGATAGCTCAGCAGACTAAGCACCTGCTTAGGCAAGCGCAAGGACCAGGGTTTGATCCCTGGCAGCACATGCTGAGCCAGCCCTGCCCCCAGGCACACTGAGAGGGCTGCTGAGACCAAAAACAAAAACAACAACAACAACAACAACAACAACAACAAAAAACCCCAAAACAAACAACAACAAAGCCCAATTAGGCCTTATGGCATAATCCCCAAGCATTTCTGCACTTGGAGGCTCCATATCAAGAAGATCTCCTGCTAGTCTCTATTGCAAGATGCCTTCTAAAGCCAGGGAGGGCCAGGGTTGGACTGGTTTCAGGAGAATCCATCACTTGTAAATCGCCAGACTTCCAGAGCCAAGATTCAGAGGCACTCTGTTAGTAGTTTGTGACAAGCCTCGGGGGTTATAGTTTGATCAGTCTCCTCAGTGGTTCTGAGGAGGAGACCCAGGAGTGCCCCAAGACATCAGGATACTTTAGAGAAACAAGAGATATGGCACACTGAGTGAAGGCTGTGGTGTTCCCCACTGCCTTAGAATGCACAGTCCCATAAAGCTGCTCCTCATTTAGGCTACTTTTCTTGCTTCATAGTGCTGGGAATGGAACTGAGTGTCTCCTATCTTTAAACTCTCACACTGTCCCTAGGCTACAACACTTCTCTGGATAACCTCATCAGTCAGGATCTTGCATCCTATTTGCTGTCTACTTCTCCAGCTTCTGGTTACTGAGTTTCCTACCCCAGTCTACGAAGTGGACCTAGATACCTAGATCTCTTCTGTAGGATGATCTAGTATGACAGCTCATCTCCCACAGAAGTTCAGCAGGAGAGGCAGAGATGACAGCTGGGTCTCTGAAGAGCATGCCTTTCCTTTCTGAAGTCTGTGAGGAGCTGTAGATGTGGCGAGCTCCAGCCAGCCCCGTGACCTCCTCGTGTAAAGAAATGTGTCTGGGCTGGGCAGAAAATATTTAAGCATGGCTTGCTTTACTGTTTCTTTTCGAGATCAAATTTGCCTTGAACTCTTGAGCCTTGTCTACCTGGAGAGTCAGCATATTCTGCCAGTTCAGTAGCCTGTTGTACAGCAAAATGCAGCTGCGGTCTCCTGATCGTTAGCTCTGCAGGAGAGCTTGGGCAGTACCCACTTCGCACCTTTGCTGCACGTGAAGACAAATCAAGGCACTTCAGCCTTCAGGTCGATGAACCTGACTTCCTATGGGAAGTTCCTGTTACAGTCATACGACCTGGTCAGTGGGACATGCAGCCCTTCACAGAGGATGTATCCCCAGACCTTGAGTTTAAAATTATTGGTGTTTTCTGGTACATTTGCATAAAGCCATTACATCACTGTAATACGCCAACATTTTATTTTAAGACATTTTTATCTAACTGCATTCTTTAACTGCTTCCATCCAGCATATCATTTGCGCTGACTGTCTACTCACTCATTTTCTCTAATTTCACTTGCATATATTTTTCCTTCTTGGACACTATCCACTAAAGCTCTGTCACTTTGGCAAAGTCAAAACATTTCCCCAACAAATCAGTCAAGGGAAGCAGCTTGTGATGGGTGCCAGGCACTGTGAGGGAACCTGGGGGTGGGGCGCCAGCGCTCAGTTACCCAGACACTAGCGGGGGATGTGGGAGAATGACTTGGTGGGTCGTACAGAGCACCTGGGGCACACTCCTGATTTAAAAATCATACAAAGGGTAGGGTTCACATAAAAGTTCACATACATGCACACAGGCACATACCCAGCTTAAGAGCCTCTCTCTGAACGTGGATATCATTTACAGTAAGTACAATATTAGCACACTGAGTCCATCACTATGTAGAATACTACATCGTGATCAAGTAGGGCATGTCTCAGAAGTGCAAAGATGTTTCAACCTGAGAAAGTGTATTAATTTAACAAGCCAGTATATTAACATATTGTGGGAGACATCATCTGAACATATGCCCCCAAATTCTGAAAGCCCTCAGTACTCTGTCCTCATGAAGGATAGGAAGAAAGATGAAAGGTCATGACAATAAAATAGACAAGTAGAAACCTAAACTAAACTTCATTTTTACAGCTGAAATATTAGATTTTGCCCATTCGTGCTTGGATTAAAGGAAGAGTATGGAAAGGCCAGTGTCAGTGTCTTACACTCTGCGTCCTAGATGGTTACACTGAGGACCTTGAGTCAGTGAGTGACCCATGTGAGCCCATGTGACTGTGAGGATCCTACAAGAGGAAGGGGGAGGTCCCCAGAATGGTTCCTGCACCAAAGGGTTTGGGGGTCCTATTCTACTGCCAGGATGAGGGCGGGCCCAGGGGTAGAACACCCTCCATTTGCCAACAGGCAGGGTTCACACTGAAACTACTTAAAGCAAAAAAAGCCCATCAAAACAAAGTTATGAAAGCAGTCGAGAAGCACAGTGCTTCATGAAGTACGAAGACAGAAGGCAGACCAAGCAAGACGAGATGGATTGGAGAACCCCAAAACCATGCACAAGGACTAAACTGAAGATGTGTTTGAAAGCATCAACTATGACCTGAAAAATAACTGTAATACTTGCCATTTGTATGACAATCTAAAGTTTATAAAACATATCACATGAGTCAAAGAATTTGTTGCATTGTCTTAACCATGTCCACAGGTACTATGGATACCTACAGTCTCACTTTGTGGTTTCAAGTACAAGATTCTAGGCCTTTCTCAGGCACTGTTCTTATGGATTAATAGGCTTGCCCAAGGGCCATCTCCTAATGCTTCCTAAGCCAGCCAGCGAGTGTTCTGGTAGACTCTCAGCATCACCACATGTGGTCCCAGATGGCCACAGGGATACCTTGGGTCCAGGCTGGGGCTGAGCCAAATAGGAGGAAAAGGAGAGCACTCCCTTTTCCTCCTATTTGCTCCCCAGAGCACTTGCTTACAAATGTTAAGGGTCAGGAATTTGGCATCTCTCAGCCAAGAAGAAAATCACCCTCAGATATAGAAATTGAGATCACAGTAGTGCCCCAGCATGAAAGAAGTGGAAACACAGCCCATCAAGTGTCCCTGGACCTGCTTACCTGGGACCTTCAAGCAAAGAGAGGTAAGGCATGTCATCAAGCCACATGCAAAGATCACTGGAGGCAAACATCAGTGTGCACAGGAACACAACCTCAGTACAGTACAGAAATCTATCAGAAAGACCAGGTAGAGGAGAAACTAGTGGGGGAAAGTAAAGGAGGCCCTATTCTTTTTTAAGCTCCCTAGTTCTATATAGTTCTCAACTTCCTGCTTGTGTCTAGAACTCACAATCAGGAGCTTAAAAAACATTGCAATGGATGGCCTTATACACAAAGCTTCAGGTGGAATTGGCCCAGTGTGAGGGAAGACCTGGGTATCAGGCCTCACATCTCTTGCCCCTCAGGGGATTTGGGATGAGGACCAACCCTCAAGGTGATTCCAACGGTCAGGCAGAGTTCAGCCAGCTGGTCCAAAGCACTAAACCTCAAAGACGATGCTGCTGTGACATCTGATTTGGGTGATGTGAAGGTCATGGATAGACTGACCAAGGCACTGGGGCTGGAACTCTGGGAGCAGCGGGGAGCAGCCAGGTGCACCATCAGCACCACTTATTGAAGGACACTTTCTGTTTGATGGACGACAAGGGGCTCAGGAGACAGCTTAGTTTGTTTTCTTTCTTTAAGAAAAGAGATATAATCTGTTTCTGCATAGAGTAGGGAATTCCACATAAAGAGAGAAAGCATCAACATTTCAACAGCCTCACAGGGCAAAGGCTAGGGAGGGTCCAGCCCAGGACACAGAGGGGAGGGTTTTTCTTCACAAGGAAAAATAGAGAACTAACATTTGCTGAGCATCGGATTTTCTGGGTACCAGGCCAAACATGTCATATGTGTCATTTCCTTGAGCCTTCTCCACGAACCTCCAAGACCTTTGTCATCTGGAAGGTTCCGTACCTGGGATCACAGTGATCAAGAGTCTTCTTGCAAGTTCAACCAGATTATGCAAAAAAGCACAGAATGTAAAAGAAGCCTAAGCAACTCAGCTTTACTTTTTTCTTATTTATTTTATTTGGTGTAGGGTTTCACTATCCACCTTGGACTCATAGTGATCCTCCTGTCTCAGTCTCCCCAGAGCTGGAATTACAGGCATGTGCCACCATGCCTGGTTTCAGGGCTAGCATGATATGCCTGGGGCTCAGGGCCAGCATGGCATGCAGTACCAGGATCAGACTTGGGATTTTGCACTTGCCAGGTAGGTGCTTAGACCACTGAGCTATCTCCCTGACTCCAGCAACTCAGTTTTAAAGAACACAATTGACAAAATCTGCCAAAATGTAGATGATGGCTATTTGATCCCAAGAAGTCCCCTTCCCTAGGTACCTCATGGCCATATTGTGCGCTGCAGTCCCCAGAGCTCTCCTCCCGAGAATGCACAGGGCAAAAGACAGAGTCACCAAAGGAGAGTCTTCGTCACTGTCCAGGGTCTTTGATGGCTGAAAGAGCAAGGGTGTGAGCTATACTTCTGCCTACATTCCCTGTGTCCCGATACAGCACCACAAGTATAGAGCCAAGGTAGGTCATCTGTAGTCCTCCAGTATCCTTTGAAATGGCCCTGGGAGGGGAACTCTGCTTCTGGAAGTGATCTGTCTTGTGGTTGGACATGAGGGAAAATGGGAAAAGTGCTTTGGGAGAAAAGGAGCTAAAATGGGGGAGATGAACTAATTCTCTGAGATTTCGAATATGGCTCTTCAGATCATGAAGACATCAGGGCTTGGAGCCAAAAGATGTCCCTCTTGGCACTGTCCTGCAGAAAGAGGCAAAGCTTGAAATTCCAGCACACATGGGGGCTTCCTCTTCTCTGTCCAGGCAGGAGCCCTTAGGGTTGACCCATAAATCTACAATCAACAACTAAATTAAAAGAGTACAGTCAACTAAGAAGTGGGAAGCAGAAGAAATTGCAAGTCAAAGTGTCTTTTGCAAGAAAAACAATGATTTCATGAACCAACACTGGAGAATCAAGTCACCACTGGACAGCTAGCTGTGTCAGTGGACACTGTGCCCGGCTTCACCACCCAGAGAGGCCCCACCTGAGCTAAAGATCTCTCCATAGTCCTCCTGGTTGTCTGGAGACTGTGGACTCTGCCATGTGCTTTGCCAGAGCCTAGGTCTGTGCTGTTTTTCTGACTCCTCACACTACTCAATTCATGGTACACTGAGGCAGCTGCTTCCAGCTCAAGACCCCCTTTCTCCGCCAACACCCAAGGGCTCTTCCCTTTGTATCCCAGAAGGCACAGTGAACTGGCTCCCCTGTGCCTTCCTCTACCTCCTTTTCCACTGTCTCCTCTCTTCCCTTTGGAAGTGCTATTGCTCTTGGCTCCATTTCTAAGATGAGATTAACCTTCAGGGGTATCCTCTGCATGGGTACAAACTGATGCAGGGAGGCAGCACCTACCAAAGGGCCCTGGACCATCCAACTGCAAAACAGACTTGACATATGCATGGCTCAGTGGCTCAGTAAGTCTTTCAGCCTAAGCACACAACACCAGGAGTCTCAAAATGTGAAATTAACTAGTTGTCCAGTGCCCTAATGCTTAAAACTGTACTGGTCCCATGCAGTTTAAGGGACACATGCCTTCACAGAGCCTTTTTTGGGGAGAAAAGCTACATTAATTACTCCATTAATTGTGCTTAACTGTTAAACACCGATCTGGATACTAACCTCTTCTCTTTCCTATCTCATTAAAGCCTACCCTGGGGCATAAGAAGAAATGGCAGTCAGCAATCCTTGGTTTGTACACTTGTGCCCAGCGTTGCTGCCCCAGCTGCCACTTCCACCCCCTACCTCTTGCCTCTTCCCAGCGCAGTACTGGATCCACTCCAGGTAGACATTGCAGTAGCTGGCTCGGGTTACGCCCTGCAGACACGGCACATAGTCATCATCAATGTTGATGCTGAACACTGCGAGGTCACGCTCAATGTGATGCCACTTGGCAAAGGGCTGCAGGGACTTTAGGAGTGACTCATTCTTGACCCAGGAGAGGAGTTTGGGGGACGTCACCATGTAGTATATTATGCTCTGTAGAGAGAAAGTGAGATTTGGAGCTCTTAGAGATGTTCCAAAGCCAAGCAGGTTTTTCCTTCTTTAATTCATTCTTTAATTCATTCGATATCAGGAAGTAAACCAATATCAGATTAGCATGAGACATGAGCCCTCGATGGGGGCATTTGCACTTCTGCTGGGCTTGAGGCGTGAAATCAACCTAAGACTGTCCAAGACGTCCTCTCTCAAGGGCCATTGCAGAAAAGAGAAAGAAGAGCTGAATGCAAGCAGAACCTCAGGATTTGAGTGAGGAGTTACAGCAGCTCTGCCTTCCAAGAGACATACAAGAAATACCTTTTGCCAGGGTCTTGCAGGCCCCCAAGGATGCGGGGGTCAGTTTTGAGGCTAGGAAAGGGCCAACCCTCTTCCAGGGCCTGGCTGGAGCATTCAAGGCACTGACCGAGCTCACTGTTTGTGGGAAGTCCTGGTAGTAGCACAGGTACTCTCTTTATCCTGATGCTCAGACCTGCGGTATGTTTAGAAACAGCTCACTTACACTGGACACGGTGGTGCAGACCTGTAATCCCAGCACAATGGGACGCTGCAGCAGGAGGGCGGAAAGTGTGAGCACAGCCTGGGCAATCTGGCAGCTTAGAACGAGTCTATCTCAAAACCAAAACATAAAAAAGGGCTGGAGGTGCAGCTGAGCACAAGGGCCCTGGACACTTACAGGTCCCACCTGGGGAAAATGCCGCCCTCAAGCTCTGTTATTCAGAGCCTCAGCTTTCTTGAAATTTACCTTGCAGTTTTTGAATGAATTTATCCCTCAAAAAGGCTACTACTTCATGTGAAGAAGTAAAACTGTGACAGTGAGAATTAAAATCCTGAAACGGACATGCAGGCAGGGTGTGCTGCTGGAAAGTCACATCCTACAGTTGCTGGATTTTCATGACAACAGAACAACTGAAATGGTGCCCCGAGGGTTGCTGACCCGAAGGCGACTCCAGGGGATGCCTGCAGGCCTCTTCTTGAAACTAAGAGACACACAGGGCCACAGTGGTTGCAGAGGGAAGCAGGCTTCTGATAACAGAAGCAGAGGGGTCCTTCTCTGTTATCAAACACACTCTTTCCAAGTAAGAAACAGGAAGTAGTGGGCTGGGGAGATAGCTCGGCTGTTTAAGTGCCTGTCTGGCAAGCGCAAGGACCTGGATTTGATTCCCCAGTACCATATTCCCTGCAGATCCCAGAAGTTCCAGCACAACTTTCAGGCCACTGAAACCCTGTGTGATGGCAAACACCTGCAATTTTAGTGCTAGGGTGCCTGAGACAGGAGGATCACTATGAGTCTGAGCTGCACAGCTAGACCCTGTACCAAATAAAATTTAAAAGAAAAGGAAAAAGAAGTAGAAAGTAATGACATGGGGGAGGGGGGACAAAGTCCCCAAAGCAGTGGGCACAGAGACCCAATCTAGGAAGACTCCTGCCTTCCTCCCCCATACTTCCCCTGTACTTCCTTCGTTCTGGCTGATGCCAGGGACACAGATCGCAAGGAGCCCAGGTGTCTGGCATCAAGTTCCCAGGAGGCCAAGCAGGTAAATGGACAGCCATGCAAGTGGCTAAATAACTCCAGATGCTGGATTCGGCCTCTCTGCTGGCAGAACTCAGGGTGCTTTGGACTTGGGGCAGGCTTAGCTGTGGTTCTGGGCAGGTGTCCTGACCTCAGCATAGCCTACTTTCCATGGTCTCATCAGCCTCACAGTGAGGAAGCAGGAGAGGTGGGATCTGGAGACTAACAGCAGACTTCAGTAGCCTGGGCGTTCTCTGCATTGGGTAACACTGCGCCAGGATGGTCGTGCCGACCTGAAAAATTGCTTCAGTGTGAGACGGAGGCAGAACAGGAGGGCTGCAGGCAGAGGTAAAGGCAGTTGAAACTTGGAGGGACAGACAGGCTTGCTGGTGAGACCCACTGCTCACTGCTGTCCTGAGGTCTGAAGAGAGACTGTGCACATGAAGGGTTCCGCATGGCCGAGCACAGGTGACACAGGGGAGAAACAGCAGAATTGGGTGGACAGGTGTGACTTACCTGCCCAGAAAGCGGGCTGAGTGTGGGGTCAGGGAGCAGGCAGGGTAGCAGCAGCAGCAGCAGCAGCAGCAGCAGCAGCAGCAGCAGCAGCAGCAGCAGCAGCACAGGAGAGGCTGAAGCATAAGGTGAGGGAGAAGGGTGGCAGTAGGGGACAGGAAACAGCTGTGCACATCTGGTATTCAAAGACACATACTCTGAATCTGGAAGGTTTTCTCTTGTTTACTTGCTGGCTGGATGACTTAAAGCTCCTACAAGGTGGACAGTTTAAATAGTTGGCCCAAAGTTACAAGGAAAAGAGGGTACAGGGATCTCCCAGTCTAATCTTATATTCTGTGAGTGGAATTACTCAAGGTCAAGCAAGTCCTAAAATAGTAAATGGAAAACTCCAGAAATGAACGCTGTATACATAAGCTTTAAATTGCATGCTGCTATTATGATCAGCAGCGTAAGTAGCTTGATAAAATCTTGTGTTACTCTGCTCTCGGAATGGGATCCCCCCTTGTCCAGTGGAGTCATGCTGCAGCCCCCACCTCAACTGTCCCTGCATAGCCAGTTCAGTCAGCAGATTGACTACAGTGGGTACCATGGGCTTTGTTTCCAAGTGACCCTTGTTGTAGCTAATCATGGCCCCAAAAGTTCAAGTTGATGCTGGCAATTGGCATATGGCAAAGAGAAGCCATAAAATGCTTCCTCTAAGTGAAAAGGTAAAAGTTTCCCACTTAAGAGAAGACAACAACATGCAGAGATTACTAAGAGGACAATGACCCAACAGGGTGAGAGCACACACTCACACAACTTTATTATAGTATATTGTTATAATTGTTCCATTTTGGATTGGCAAGACAGCTCAGCAGATTAAGCACCTGCTTAGGCAAGTGCAGGGACTGGGGTTTGATCCCCTGGACCATATGCCACACTGGTCCCATCCCCAGGATTGCCACTAAGACCAGGAATACACCTGTAATTCCAGTGCTGGGGAGGCTAAAAATGGGAGGATCACTATGAGTCTGAGCTGCATAGTGAGACCCTGTACCAAACAAATACTTGCTCTATTTCATTATGAGTTACCAGTCTTTTTATCTTATTGTGCATTTATAATTGAGCTATGATAGGTATATATGTACATAGGGTTTGGGACTATCTATAGTCTCTTGGGGACTTGGGGCATATTGCCTGCAGATAGGGCTCTGCACTGTGGCCACAGGCTCAGCTTCCCCACTGATCATTACAAAGAGAAAAAAAAAAAATGGCTTTTCTGAACACCTGGTTCTAGCAAACATCTGGTCTAATTTTTCCCAGTATGTCCTAATCCTATAGTAGGTAAGAATAACAAACAATTTTTTAGAAAAATCAAAGTTTGCTATTTCATTCTTTTCTGAGGGGTGAAAAATGACCCTATGAGGGATGAAGTCAGAATAATTAATGGAGACTTTGAATCCCAGAGGCTGCCACGCCCTCCTTTGCGACCTGCCAGGATGCAGCGCTGTGGACTACAGAATCTGGGCTCATGTCCATCTCTGCTTTCCCTAGGCAGAAATGCCATCCTGAGACACTGTCAATGAACCGTGAGAAATCCTTCAGCTTCTCTGGGATGAAGTGGGTGCAGCCTATGCCAAGCTGAGGAGTCAGGAGGTAACCATGAGAGACCACATAATCCTGGCCTGTGTTGGAAAAGGATCCCCAGAGATGGACCCTTGGCATCTGTGTCCTACAGCCAGTCCTAGCTTTTCATTCTGACTGCAGGCCACATAACCCACCAGATACCTCATTCCGGGAGTAGGCCTCAGTGGGGCACAGCAGGGTGGGGCTTCACACCTCGCAGTGCTGAGCAGGAAGGTACTTGGCACAGTGTTGGCCACATGCGGGCCGGGCCTCACAAAAAGCTGAGTTCTTAATTCCAGGAAGGTTTCAAGCGCTAATAAATTCAGTCAGATGGAGGACACCCCAGGGAAACTGTCCAGTCATCAGGAAAGAGACGTTTTTAAATATATTCATAGAGGGTGAGGAAAGTGACCCAGTTTATTAGAAGATTTTTTAAAAAATCCTTTTGTGTAAAAAAATCATTTCAAAGTTACTTTCCGTTTCAGTTTGCCTATCCAGTAGGAAAGCCATAAAAAGAATGAGACTAAGCTCTTGAAACCTGAAGAAATTCTGAGCAACAAGGAGGTAGCAGGTTTGTTCACCAAGAAATCCAGACCAAGATACAAAGAATTCATTTCTTTTCACCCCAGTGCTGCTGCTTCTGCTCCACTGTCCCATCCGCCTCCTGCAATTTCCTGTAAGCGCACACTGGGGAGGAAGGCGCATTCTGAGGTAGAAGGGTGGAAGGGGCCTAAGGATTGTATTCAAGAGGCCTGAGCAGGCAGAGGCGGAAGCAGGGCCTGACGTGGCATTAATTTGAGTGCACATGCTTGTAGTGCTAACCAGGCCCAGAAGAGGAGCAAACCACTTAGGAAGCTTACTAAAATATGGTAAATTCTTGGGCACACCCCAGGCCCACAGCCTCAGCTCTGCTTAGTAGGACACAGGGCTTTGCAGTCAGCTCATTTGCTGGGGGAACTGGTACCATGATCTTCCGTGGATCAGAAAAGTGGGGTGCCTCTTCTTTCCCGGATGGGAACCTGTCCTTATTCTCTTTCTTAGAAGAGTGAAGGGTTTGGTTTCCTCACAAGCCCAGACCCTCCCTCTGCCCTCTTTTATCTGCATGGCACCCTGGCTTTGTCTGTCAGATTTTAACCTGCCATCTTAGAGAACCCAGAAGGGTTGGGAAGTGCTGCCAGAGTTGGCAGGGGGGACAGGTGAGCAGAGGCCACAAGTCCAGGTGAGGGAGGGAAGCATGGACCCCGAGTAGCACTTTTCTCTCCTCCATGGTGACCTGCTGGCCTCCTGATATGGGGTCTGAACTGTCCACATGTCTGGCTTTGGGAAGGTCACTTGACATTCCAGAGTCAGAGTCAGAGCTCAGTCCTGAACCCTGCTTTCACTGCAGACAGCATGGCCGGGCCTCAGAATCCGTGTTGCCTAGAACCTATGTTCACACCAACTGAAATGGCCTTGGGTGCATGGATCGGTGGTGCCCTGCAGAGCTTGGGAACACAGGGGTCAGGTGCGATTGCTCTCTCAGGAAGGTCCCAGAGAAGGAGGGAGGGGAGAGGTGGGGAGGAAGAGGAATGACGGCCAGGCACAGGTCTAGGGCAGCTGGGAGGGAGCACTGCCATGTGAGCCAAGGCTGGGTGGCAGCATGGGACAGACCAGTTCCCACGGTGGGCAGTCCAGAGAGGCACGCTCCACATACACACAGAGCAGGAGGAGTCCGTGGATCCGGAAACAGTGGCAGCAGCAGCGGAGGGCTCTACAAGGCAGCTGCAAATCTTGTTCTTCAGGCAGCATGGAGACAATGGATTCCAAGACGCATTCATTGAGCCTGCGAGGCGCCACCCCTGACCTAGCTGCTCCTTCTTGGTCATCTGCTTCACAAGCCTGCAGGTTGCCTTGAGCAATCAGCCTCTGGACCCAGCCCTTCCTGCAGCCGCCTTGCCTTGCTGCCTCATGAGACCCAGAGGAGATTCACAGGGGCCAGTTTTCTACTTGACAGAAAATGACAGGGAAGGCTGGTGGCCACTGGTTGCCCTCCTTTTTCCATAAACATATAATCCTCAAAATACACTTTCCACATCACTCCCACCTGCATGAGACAATGTTCTAGCAACAGGACACAGCAGGAGTAGCCTGTGGGAAGTTCCAGGAGGCCACCCAGGTCTTCATTCTCCCTGTCATTTTCTCTGAGGCAGAAGAACAAGAAGTCCCCAGGATGGTGGCAGAAAAGCAGAGGATAAAAAGGACACCAGTTCTTCAGGCAGGGTGCCACAATCCAAACTGCACATTTTCTGAGCAACTGAGAAAAGGTGTGATCGGTCTCCACATGCACAGGGAGGAGAAGCTATCAGCGCTAATCCTCACCAGATTACTTAGCTAAATTTTTGAACTTTTATCCTAAGCTTAAACAACCATTCTTGATCTAAAGTGGACAATTGGCAGGGCGTCCAACGTGACTCAGTTTACCTCTAACCTTGAGGCTTGTGAACTTCCTATGATGATTAAAAACTTATCATCACCTTCATTCCCAGTACCATGCCTTGGGTAGAAGTAGAAGCATGCCACCTGCTGCTCTAGGCTTGGGAACACAGGGCAGGACACACCCCCAAGGCTAACACAAGGTCCTGCTGGGTTTTTCAGGACAGTGGCTCCCAAATCCAGCTGCATCTCCAATTCAGAAGCTGGAAGAAATTCCAGTATCCAGATCCCTGCACAGCTCTTCAGAATCTGCCCTCGTCCACCCAGAATGGCTCCTCAGATAGTGTGTGTGGGCACTGAGGTACCTTGATGTAGTACCGGATGAGGACCCTGCGCAGGTCAAACACCTGCAGCATGGTGGCTGCGTTGTTGTCGATGATGCTGTAGCCCTCCAGGATGTACTGTGTGCGGGTGACCTCCCAGGTGAGCCAGCGGAGGTGAAAGGCAGCATTGCAGGAGAGCAGGTGCGGCAGGTGCCCAGGCTGGCAGCAGCAGCAGCCTCTGTCTTCCTCGTCGCCCTCCATGATGGCTTCCACTTCCCTCTGCTGGCAGTAGGTTCCTGCCAGGAATGACAGGATGGGAGTTAGAAGAGAGGTCGTGCTAGAGCTGTCCCTTGCCATGACTTCACATAGCCTTCATCAGGGGGTCAAGGAGACCATCTAGGAATGAGGACACGTATCTTGTCTTAGCTCCAAGTGTTCCCCGCAATCACAATTGTAAGGACCGTCTACTCATTCATAGTCATTCTGATTCTCATGTCCTGCCCACATTTTGTATTCCGAAGGCATGTGCTCAAGGTAGTCATGGACAAGGTGAACTGAAGGATGCTGACAGCCCTGACCTGTAGGTTATACCTGAGCAGTCAGAAGGCTAATGGCATGCTGGCAGGTGGAGATGCCGAGAGCAGCCAGGTGTGCACTGCAGTGCCTTCCAGGTGGGGGCCTCCAAGGAGATGCCACTGCCAAGCTAGAAGCACACGCACCTGACGCTCACTGTGGGCACAGGGTGAGGCATGAGCTGGTGCCTGCCAGGGCCTTCCCTGCAGAAGCAGGGGAAGCAGTGGGTATGGGCAGCCTTTGGAAAGGGATACTACGCCTCCTTCAGTGTTTTCATCAAAGACTTAAAAGGAAACAAGATGCTCATGACAGGAGGTTATTGCTGTGGCCTTGAAGGCAGAACTGTGATCTAAAATGAACTTAGTGGGCAGAATCTAGTATGCTACAATTTGACAGGAATAAAGGGAAATTCCTGCACAGAGTATAAAAAACCCAATCATACAGTTTATTAATATATAGTCCTACAGGGGCTGGGGAGATAGCTAAGAGGTCTAAGTGCCTGCCTGGCAAGCTCAAAGACTCGGGTTTGATCTTCAGTACTGCATGCTGTGCCGGCGCCATGCCGTGCAAACCAGGTGTGGTGGCACATGCCTGGGATCCCAGCACTAGGGAGGCTGAGACAGGAGGATCACTATGCATCTGAGCTGTGTAGCAAGACCCTGTATTGAATAAATAATTTCATATATATATATATATATATATATATATATATAGTATGTATATGTGGCAAAAGTTGGATGATTCTACTGATTTTTTATTTTTTTTCACAGTACTGGGGATTGAACTCAGGGTCTTCACACTAGGCTGTATCTCAGTCCTTTTGTATTCTGAGAGAGGGGCTCACTAAGTTGACCACACTGGGTTTGAACTTGTGATCTTCCCTCTGGGATGACAGTTCTGCACAACCACACCCAGCCTAATATCACTATTCTATGAACCCAAAGTATGAGGCAGAAGAACCATGTAGAATACAGAGAACATCAGACAAATGGTGGTTTTGTCAAGGTACAGCCGGGACTCTTCCCTTGGCCACTACCCACAAAGCATCACTACTGCCACCAAACAAAGCCAGATGATCTGGCCTACACTTTCTAAATTTTTCTCCACTAGTGAGTGGATTAGTACTCATTTGAATGTGATTATAATGACACATTAAGAAATCTACAGGGTTTTGGAAGCTCAATGTTATATTTCTGAAGACTGACTGGAAAAGTTGCGACTTTCCAGAAGAGCGACTGTAGAGGCAATGGTGATCACCACGTGACCATCTGCAGAGTTCTCAGGGGCCCCTGAGCAGATGTGCTCTGAAGTTCCAGAGGGCGTCTCATGACTCGCAGCAGGAAGTCTGGAGGCAGAGTGCATCGTAAGAAGGACCATTTAGCAGCTGGATGCTCACTCAGGAGATGACATCCCCGCGAGTGGGGATGAGAAGGTCAGGAGCTGCTGCCAGGGGGACAGAAACCACAGTTGCAACAGCTGTGAGTGCACCTCGAAAGCCAGGAGGGACGGCAGGCTCTGGGCAGCCTTCGCTGCTAGAGGTAAAGTGCCTGCACATTGTTCGGGATGGCTGAGCTCTAAGCATGCTGTTTAACACAAGGAGAAACAAGACCAAAGAGGAATTTAAAGAGATGAATAAATCAGAGTTCCTAAGGGTAGTAGCTTGGGGTAGTAGAAATAAAAGGTAGGTGTCAGGATGAGAATAGCTCAACAAAATAGTCGAAGGCCAGAAAATACAAGAGATGACAGCAAGTAGCAGGACGGAAAGTGGATGCAGGACTGCTCAAGACTTCATTTTGAAAGAGGCCTGCATCATGGAATTATTTGTTGAAAGTAACTACTTAAATATGTTTAATTTAGTTTAAAATTTTTATGGAAATATGGTGTTATCTGAATGCCAACATGGAAGACTATTATTTTGGGGGAGGCAGTAGTTAGCACACAGAGTTTGAGAAAAGGCGGTATGTTCTCGCTGCCCGCCTTGTTCAAAGTATTTACGTAGCCCACGCTTGTTTCCTCACCTGCAAAATGGGTCCTTGTGAGAATGAAATAAAACAGCACATGGAAAATGATGAGGAACCACCAGTGACAGATGTCGGTGGTCTTTACTAATATTTGTTTTTAATAGACCATAGCTCCGTCAGTGCAATGTGTGCACGCGTGGAGGGACAGTCAGAAGCCAGCACCTGTCGGCACGCCCACTCCTGCCTGTGTTCACCACAGGCTTTTCTGGGATCCCATGTCACTGTTCACAGTGGTCACACCTGCTGGCTCCATGAGGGAATGAAAGACTATGGAAATGGAACGGAGTCAAGGAGGGATTCTGACTTAGCCTGCTGTAAACACAGGGCTTAGGCACGCTACTGAGAAAATCCACGGCAGATCCGACGTGGGGGCAGAGAAGGAAAGGCTACATCAGATGACCTGAGCAAAGTTAGTGCACCAGGGATGTGAACTACTGTGTACACACTGTACTGTTAGGACAAGGCAGTGAAAGGGGAGATCAGGAAAGGGAGGCAGGCAGATGCCATGACATTAGAAGTGAGACGGTGTCGGTCTAATCCTGGACCTTAGCACCCCATTTTTCTCTAAGACTTTGCTGATGAGGTCTGAGCTGAAAGCATTCGTTCTTAAACATTTCAGAGCTCTCTCAGCTCATCTGGAATGTAAACCCCTGCTTTTCTCTGGGAGAGGTGCGCAGAATGCAGGGCTGGGCTGTGAACAGGAGCCACGTGGACCACAGACCACAGGGCCACCAAAGCAAGCAGCGGCCACCGCGCCAGGACTGAGAAGCCTGGGCACTCAGGGAACTGTCTGAGCTGCCGGGGCTCCTTCCTTGTCCCTCACTCACTCAACTTACATCTTCAACTCCATTTTCCTTCTTATACACCCCCTTTTGCAGTCACCTTGGGTTTCAAGAAGGGCAGGTCTTGTTGACAGAGACCTTTATGACAAGGGACCACACTACTTAAAGCCTGGGAAAACTTCACAGAACATCTCCCCCACCCCACGTAAGTGTCTAGGGCTGTTCTTGTTATCTCACCATGGGATCAAGCCACTCTGTCAAGCAATAGTGGCTTTCCCAGCCCCTGGCAGAACCAGCTGTGAGATAACACCAACCAGACCACAGAGCTGACTAAGATTACTTAGGCTGCCAGCTATGCAAGCCCCTCAGCTATGCAGACTTTCAAGCTTTGCCTTGGCTCCCCTTTTCTATAAAGCCCTAAAGTTCCTGTCAGCCTCTCAAGAAAAGACCTTGTGACTATTTACATCTATCCTTTCTCCAGGGCGGCCCTAGAGATGAAAGCTCTTTTTCCGCCTTTCATCACTGCTCATCCCTTTGACTAGCTTTTTGGGACAAGTGGACTGTTAGGACTTCTGGAGCCAAAGCTTTGCCCTCAGACTCTGGTGGATCCTCCGCCCACAGGGACACACCAATGATATGAGTTTGCTGCAAGCTAACAATCTCATCTACAAAAAAGCATCTAATGGCGGAAATAAGGTAGTTTCCAGAAACAAGTGACACAAGGAAGAAGCATGATGGGGGATTTTCACTTGAGATCAGTACAATGACATTCCTAAAGAAAGGTCTGAAGTTTGTTCTTAGTTTTCCCATTCTTCATTCTTCCATCCCACTCTCACATTTATCACATTGGGCTGAAAGCCAGGGACTTTTTTCTTTTTCCTAATCAACCAGGCGGGTTGTATGTGTGAAAGTGTGTGTATGCATGCATGCATGCATGCATGGTGTGTGTGTGTGTGTGTGTGTGTGTGTGTGTGTGCCCATGCACATGTGCATGCCTGTCTCCAGGTCTGTGTGCAATGGACACTTGCTCTTCAGCCCTCTCTGTGACACATGGAGCTAGCGAAGCAGCACGCAGGAGCAACGGGCTTCTCTATGCTGGTGAAATGCAGCTGAGAAAGTTCGCCATGAAAGGCGCTCCTGGTTGGCAGAGATCTCATGACTGCCTATGGCTTAGCTGGGGCGACTCCGATAATCTGTGCTCAGGAAGGAGGCTCACACTCAGGGTCACACAGTGAAAAACACAAGAATGTCGATGCACTGACTTTGCTGATGAATGCAAGTCAAGACCCATATTCTAAGCATGGAGCAGAGCAAAGTATCTCAGAAGGGCATACTGAAGGTCAAGGCCCAGGGTGCTGTGGAACCTCCAGCAGTGTTGGCTGCGATGCAGCTGACCAGGCTGTCTGTGCATGGTGTTTCCACTGAGACTGGATCTTGGCATCTTCCATGTGGCTGTGTTCACTTGCTCCAACACAGCGGAGAGAAAGAAAACATTCAATTAATCATGTTTGTTATGACTTTTCAGAGAATCTCCAGTCTTTCAGATCTGAGAGATGCAAATGACTAATTAAAGGTCTGGAAACTTCTCTTCTGAACTGAATGTGTCTGGCAAGTCCCAGTGAGCACTTGTGCTGTGGCCAGTCCTCTCCTGGCCAGCTGAACTCTTTCTCCTTTTCTTTGCAAAAGACCTGCATTGTTCCCTGTGAGCTCCAATGGTCAGGGCCTTCTCTCTCGGGGAGGCAGCCAGGAAAGAATGAAGTCTATCTGAGAAGGTATCCACATTGTGAAAGCAAACAAGAAAATGTGTGCGAGAACCAGGGATAAGAAGAGTACAATGAGGACAGAAATGACATGAAGGTCATGCTGCATTCTGTGATAGCCAGTATCACAGATTTAGCTTGGGCTCTCCAGCACAGTGAG